ACCAGGATTAGGCTTTAGTTCAATTGGGGCATTTAAGTAGCTTTTATAAACGTGCCTTAGAAAGAAAAAAAAAGCATTACTCACAGTGCATCTTGAAACAAAACAATGGCACTGATATTTTAAGTGCACGTTTATTTCAGTAGAAATAGCTCAAACATGCATTTTAGCCTGGACTAGTCTGTGAAACCAGGGGATAAAGTCTCTCACAAGTGAATCTCATTTATTCGCCCCTGTCATACATGATTTTATAACCAAGCTTCATATTAATCAAGTAAGCTATTGATTCTTTCTCAAAGTTATGTGACCTAAATCGACACAATGTAAAATGTTGATATTAACCCTTTGATGCGCAAGCTATGGATACCCCTTCTAATGCGCAACATGGGTCTAAAAAGACCCGTATTCATTTCCTATGTTATTTCAGTGATGGCTGAATGTTTCTTTGCTGAATCTTTAAAATATATGTATTGTATCATTTGTTATTCCAGGTATTGATTAAATATCTTGTTTTTGATTTCCACAAATCATTATGTTTATGTTTCCTTTCTTACTTTATAAACAAACACAGTTTTTGTATTTCTACATCAATTTTACATACACGGGTCTAAAAAGACCCGTATTCATTTCCTATGTTATTTCAATCATGGCTGAGTGTTTCTTTGCTGAATCTTTAAAATATATAAATATATGTATTTTATCATTTGTTATTCTAGGTATTCATTAAATATCTTTGTTTTTGATTTCCAAAAATCATTATGTTTATGTTTTCTTTCTTACTTTATAAACAAACACAGTTTTTGTATTTCTACATCAATTTTACATACACGGGTTTAAAATGACCGTATTCATTTCCTATGTTATTTCAGGTGGCTTTGACAGTTACAGATTTTATAATCAAAAGGCGGGGAAAAAAGGACCCTAAACTCTTAACACATCGAACCATTTCAGCATAATGGCTTATTCAAGACTATACGGTTCTTAATAGAACTTTTAGGCCTATTACATGTAAATAAGCTTTAAAGGGGCATTTGGCAACTATTTCAACTTAATAAATGGTTAAAATGGTGACTTTCTCTGCTCCCCCTAACGTTCCTAGGCGGAAAACCAACCTTGCAACATGGGGACTAACGTCCCAGTAAGTTGGAAACAGGAAGTCTTGTGAGAAGCGAGAACGAGTGAGAAACACAAAATGCTTTATGGCAATTCGACATAAACACGCACGCCGCCCTCAATGTGTATGATGTATTACCCACCTCGGTATAGCTCCACACGATAAAGTTGGCCGGCTCCGATAATAACAAATGCACATGAGCAGCGGTAGAAAGGGGGAGGAGGGGCCGCAAGTGAGTTTTTTTACAACATTGTTGTGAAATATACGTCCCACAGCTGTAGGGGGAGCTCGTTGAGAAAACATGCGACAACAAAAGTGAAAATCAGCGAAGAAATAGCCAGAGTTGCTGAGTTCCCCTTTAAAAACCCATCTTTTTTTAGTGTAGCTAACATTAGCTAGCTAGAATAGAATATGTCGACAGCTAGCTAGCTAATAGTATTGGATATGTTTCTCTTTCTCACAAGTAATTTCTCACTAGGATTTCATGGTCAAGTAACCATAGCCTAATATTCAAATATTATGTCCAGTTATCTTTTACAAAATATCAAATATTTTCTGTGGTTAAAATAAAATAAGACTTGCATCAAATATACAAAAGCAGCAGTGTTGAGTTGTGAAATGTGTGGCAGGTGAATAGTATTATGTAATAATACTATAGTAATAGTATTTATGCAGTAAATATGTGCCTACTTGCAAATATGTGCAAATATCAAAGGTTTCTATATGGGTAATTTTTGACCCATGTTTGTAAAATGTATGTAGAAATACAAAAACTCTGTTTGTATATAAAGTAAGAAAGAAAACATAAATATCAATATTTAATGAATATCTGGAATAACAAATGATAAAATGCATATATTTTAAAGATTCAGCAAAGAAACACTCAGCCATGACTGAAATAACATAGGAAATGAATACGGGTCATTTTAGACCCATGTTGCGCATTAGAAGGGTTGTGATACAAAAACTATTTTTATTCAAAAAGTAAGAAAGTAAAAATAAAAATAAGGATTTGTGATGATCAAAAACAAGTTAATTGAGGAATACCTGGAATACTGAATGATGAAATTAATTTCTTGCAAAGATATAGAAAATTAAAACTCAGTCGGGTCTATTTAGACCCATGTTGTGCATCAAAGGGTTAAAGTATGTTAATGGGGGAAAATGAAGCCTAAGTCAACAGACTAATCAAGGAAATTGCTATTTAATTGAGACGATAATATAAAATGTTAAAGCATTACTCACTTATTTATATGGTAACAAAATAAGGTCTGTTAACATGCATTAGTTAACATAACATTAATAAAACAAATTTGTTCTTGCTCACAGTATTAACAGTTATAATGTTAACAAATAAAACCTTACTATGAACATTAATATTTACAAATTTAAATTAGCCTAAGCTGTCCTGTTGGATTTGAATATTCAACATTATGTCCATATCTACATGAGAAGAATCCAAATCCAAATGAGACCTGACAGAACCAGAAGAATTTCCTGTGGGAAATATAAATTAGCTCTGGCATGAAGATGTGGCAAGCAGAAAGCTTGTTCTAACATGAGGTGAGTCTCTGCGCTGAGACCTGAAAAACATCATACAATATCTGTTTGTATAATTTAAGGGCCAGTCTGCTTTGATACAACATTTACAGACTATAACATAGCATGGACTCAAGTGTTGGGCAGTAGCCTAATGCGTTTTACTAACGGAAAAGTATTAAAACTAGTGTAACGAATTACTGTTGCCAGGAAGTAATAAGTAAAGTAATAATATTACTTTTGAAATGAGTAATAAAAAAAAAAAAAAGTAGAGCCAAACACTGCTGTTAGTTACTTGCTTTTAAGCCCATTCATGTTAACAATGGACATTATAATATACTGCACTGATTCACTTCACATATGTCAGCAGCAAATACAATTCATCACACATTGCAACATAACGTGAGAAAGCTTTTCAGATGAATAGGTGCATCTTACCATTCTTAATCCATTCATTCCATGCATGTATCTGGTCACTATCATGATCCACAGTAGACGCTGTGTGGACATAAACTCTTTTAATAAAGTGCAGGAGAAAATTCTTTAAACAAAATAGAAAATTGCATACAAACACCTACTCATGCTTTCATATTTATTATCAAAGGTTGCTATGAACATTTAGACATGATTCTCACCATGCGAGTGATCCAGAAGCAGTTTCCTCAGCTCTCTCAGTGTCTGCGTGAGGTTTTTCAATCTGTGATGTAAGTACGCATTCTCCTCCCTCAGAGTGTGAATTGTATCTTGAAGCTCATATGAAAAGTTCATTTGTGGTATAAAAGACATGGTCAACAAAATAAGACCCAGATGCACTGAAACCATCCTTCTCTAAATGTAGAAGCTGTTGCACAGTCAACTGATTCTTGTGTGGCCCGCACATGCCTGACAAAAAGCACTTATAGAGCTGATGCCTGCATTTAGAAAATCAATCCAATTCTCATGCACCATTTATTTTGGTCTCAATAGAAGCTGTAAGGACACACTGTTATACAAAGCTCTTTTTAGGTTAACTAGTGTGAAAGAAAACTGGTGTGAAAGCCTTTCGATGTAATGTGGTTTACTTAATGTCAGGCATGAATCTAACATTGGTTTATATTCTTTGGTAGATTTTTTTTAACAATACCCCTTACATAGGAAGACTGCCTATTTTTTTTTAATTCTTCAGTTTTTTTTTGTGTGGTAATGTACCTCTATACCACTTAGCTCTATAACATGCTCAGTTGAAATCATACAGTTTATTTAGCACACATGCTTTTGGTCACAAATGTTTGGTCACGGATGTTGTCACAATTTGACCGTGGCATTCATCTGTTTAAGGCTATTTTTACCCCTTAATTGTTACCATCCCGCTAGCTGGACGCTTTGCGCTCTTTTTATTTGTCAATACCACATATTTTAGTAATCATCATTAATTAGGTAGCTATCATTATTAAAAATAAATATTTAGTACAGTAAATTTGATTTAGAGTAAATTTAAACTTCCATAGCTTTATAATTCAGTAATAATCTGCTGAGTGTCTTCTTTAAAACAAGAACAAACTTAGGTCTATATTCCAAAGCATACTTCAATTACAACCATACGTTTGGATAGTACATTTTCATGTCTTCTCAAAAAGGGGGTTGACAGTTAAAAGGTTAATGGCTTTTCAGCAAAATATAAACAGTAAATATTATGAAATGCATAATGGTTCATAAGAAAGCAAATCATTAAATGTATCTGTTTGGTAATTCATAATTATAATTAATGAATTGAATAAAATTACAACAAGTAGATTTATTTCGTGGGCAGCATGATAATGTTTTTTCTTCTTTTTTTTTCTTTCAACATTGCTACCAGCAACCTGTTCTTCAATCTTTTGGTATGAGAAGATGTCTCAATTTCTAGGTGTTAAAATGAACTGCAACCTTATCTTAAATTTGTCATCTGTCTTACTTCATACAAATGAATTTGACTTTTCTATAAGAAAAATTATCGATTTGTTTAACTATTATAAGGAAAATTTCATATTCATCAAACTAAATGGAGTAACTCAAAACCCAACTTTGCTTATTTTAAAGCAGCCTTTAAAATGCATTTTGAGTCTGTAAAGTTTTTAAAAAATCGAAAAGCCCAAAGATCTGTATCTCTGCTAAAGGAATTTAATATGTTTGTGATGCCCTTTATCTTTTATTTTATTTTATTTTTTTATTGTTGTTTCAAGTTGTTCTCATCAAATGTGAAAATGTGTAAAAGAAATGGCAAGAACTTGATGTCAAATTCTGTAATTTTGATAATTCAATAAAAAATAAAAATAAAAAAAAACATTTCACAGAAAGTAGAGTAGGAAGTGTTTGATAATCATTTCCGGGTAAGGTTCATGGTCAAATAGAATCCAACATGGCTGCTCACATGTCCAGATTGAGGGGCTGGAGCCGAGCGCAGAGGTTTGGTCTAATGTATTAGTTATTTACGCACTGAAATGAAGAGTGTCGTATGTGAAAAGCCGTTGCCACATGTTTGTTCTGACTCTATAAATTAATATGTATTAGTTATTCTGTCTACTTTATAAAATCGTTATAGCGGTAATGTGCATGTGATAAACTTCGAAATCTCGCGTGCTTTCCCTGGCGCTTCGGTAATTAAACTGAATTGACAGCAAAATATTTGCCTACAATAGCCAGTGTGGAGTTGTTGTTATTATTATTTTGTCTCATGATTTAACTGTCTTAGTTGTCAAATGTTGAGATGCCTGTAAAAGCAAAATAGTTACTGTGTAACGTTATGTAGTTACTGTCAGTATATTCAATTCAATTCACGTTTCGCTTTTCACAATACACGTATCATTTCAAAGCAGCTTTACAGAATGTGCATGAGTCCATATTACAATAGAGTGTTGTTATCAGGTAACTGTCCAACTTATGTATTTCAGAAATGTACATAATTATACAAAATCACAGTTAGCTAAAAATGTATTAATTTAAACAATGTAATAATTTAATGCAGAAACAATGGGTTTTTACTGCACATTGAAGTAATCAATACTTGTTTGTTAACAATTGATTATGACATTTAGAAAAATGTAGCATTGGTGCATGATTCAGAGTTTGCGTCATCTGAAGTCTTCGCAGGAGTTGGCGCCGTCTCTTCATAGGTGTTGGTGGGCATCTGAAGTATATGATTATTGCTAAGTGTCTGTGTGCTGCAGGTATGGCATCGCAGTATGTAGACCTTACAGCAGTGGCAGTGCGTATCCCAATGTGTCCCTGTCCACACCGCTGCCCGGGATTCCCAAACCTCTCTTTGCTTCTGTGGACGGCCATGAGAAACACGAGACTAAAATCACCACCTTAGAAAACGGACTCAAAGTTGCATCGCAGAACAAATTTGGTCAATTCTGTACGGTTGGAAGTAAGTAAAATGTGTAGCAGATACTCTGATGTTGTTTGATTCTAATGAGCTGAACCAGATACCAAATGTTTTTTCACCTGTTTGTTTTTAGTTTTAGTAAATTCAGGCTCGCGTCATGAAGCAAAATATCCCAGTGGAATTGCACACTTTTTGGAAAAGCTTTCCTTTTCTGTAAGTCTGTCAATGATTATGAGTTGGACTAAATAGCTTTGACACTGTTTTGATTTTTAGTGCACAAACCAACTCATTCTTCTTTACTGTAAGTCTACAGCCCAGTTTGGAAGTAAAGATGAAATTCTCCTAACACTTGAGAAACATGGAGGCATATGTGACTGCCAAACATCCAGGTCTTGCATTTCTTTTAGTTCTTAGTCAAAAGTGAATTGTATTTCAATGCTGTTTTGGTTCTTTTCTGTTTACCTCATGCTTTTTTTCTTTCTGTCATTTAAAGAGACACAACGATGTATGCTGTTTCAGCTGAAGTGAAGGGTCTAGAAACTGTGGTGAACCTTCTGTCAGATGCAGTTCTACAGCCTCGTTTACTTGGTGAGCATCTGAAAAACAACTGATTATTTGAATCTTTGAAAGGGTTAAAGAGACTCTACCAGTCAAAAGTTTGGATTTTTTTTTTTTTGAAAGATGTCTCTTATTGCTCACCATGGCTGCAGTTATTTGATCAAAAATACAGTAAAAACAGTAAATCGTAAAATATTATTTGTGCCCCTATTATGCTTTTTCAGATAATACCTTTTATGCATTGTGTAATATAGTTGTTTGTGAATGTAAAAGGTCTGCAAAGTTTTAAAGATCAAAGTGCACGATCAATATTGTCTCCCCCCAAAAAAGAATAGATTCTGAACTGCAGAAACGAGTCGTCAGCAATTCCATTCTCACCTCTGTAACCTACATGCCTACAAATGTGCGTAATGCGTGTTCAGAAAATTACCGACAATAATAATAATAATGAACTTCAGCTCCGGACAGTGTTGCCAGATTGGACTGGTTTCAAACATCATTTGTGTTGCGCTTTTACTTCAAATAGAACCAATACGTCTTTCTTGAAGATTTCTTGAACATAATGCAAAACTTAGCACAGTTTTAAGAGCCACTCTCTCACTCTTTACTGTATATGCAACTTATTGTATATGTATGCTACTTTGGCATAGCAATCACGCTGAATATACAGCGGCTGAACTGATCCCAAACCAGCACAAATTTTGTCCACCTGCCCAAACCAATTTATTTTTACCCACACAATCAAATTCAAAACCGCCCAATCTGGCAACACTGTCCGGAGCTGAAGTTCAGTAATGGTAATAGACATTTAGTTTCCGACATGCGCTGTAAGCAGTAGACCAATCACAACAGACTGCACCGTCTGACCAATCAGAGCAGAGTAGGCTCTTGGAAAGGAGGGGTTTAGAGAGACTGAATATTCGGACAAGTCGTTTGATACATGTGCAATGTATATTATGAGAAAATGAAAGTGTTTTTTGAACTTTGGTGCATGTAAACATGTCGTAGGAGACCTCTGAAACTAAATTAGGAACCTTTAAAATTGCATAATAGGGGGACTATTATTATTATAATGTTTACAAAAAATCTATTTTCTGAATAGTTTCTATAGTTTCTGAAAAAATGTATCCTGAATCCTTAAAAAAAATGTATCATGGTTTCCACAAAAGTATGAAGCAGCACAACTGTTTTCAACATTAATAACTATTATTAAAAATTGAGCATCAATAATATTTTGATAACTGCACCAAATCAGCATATTAGAATGATTTTTAAAGGATCAGTTGACAGTCGTGGCCTAATGGTGAGAGAGTCAGACTGGTGACCTGAAGGTTGCAGGTTTTATTCCTTAATCCTGGCAGGAAATGACTGAGGCGCCCTTGAGCAAGGCACTTAACCCCCAATCACTTCCTGGGTGCCACAGCAAAAATGGCTGCCCACTGCGCCGTCTGTCTGTCTGTCTGTCTGTCTGTCTGTCTGTCTGGTGTCTGTTCACTACTCCTAATGTGTGTGGACTTATTTGGATGGGTTAAATGCAGAGGACAAATTCCGAGTAACTTTCTAATATTTTCTTCAGATGAGGAGATTGAGATGACCAGAATGGCTGTTCGGTTTGAGTTGGAGGATCTGAACATGAGACCTGACCCGGAGCCTTTACTAACTGAAATGATTCATGCAGTATGACCACTTCTACAAATACCAATACCTTGCTGTAGATCATTGAATTAAGTTTGTAAGTCTTATTTTATTGTCTCTTCAATGTTTAGGCAGCATACAGGGGCAACACCGTGGGCCTGCCTCGCTTCTGCCCTGCCAACAATGTTGAGAAGATCGACAAGAGGCTGCTTCATAAGTACCTGCAGAGCTATTACTGCCCGGAGCGCATGGTGCTGGCCGGGGTTGGGATTGAACATGAGCAGCTTGTTCAGTGTGCCAGGAAGTATCTCCTAAATGTTAAACCTGTATGGGGCGTGAGCACACCTGCCAACGTCGACCTGTCTGTAGCACAATACACGGGCGGCATTGTTAAGGTGAGCACCTTTTTAAAGGCTGTGACACACCTTGCCGACGTCAAAGAACTAACAGTGATGAAAAGCCGACTGTTTTGTCGCTTCCCATTGCCTGCATCTGTGCCTAAAAGCTGCACCTGAAGACACCAAAAGAACCACAGGCGACTGCCAACTAGCCTGTGCGTTCTGCGCCTGTGTGCAAGGAAATAACAGTGTATATATCATTTTCAAATACGGTAACCGAAACTAGGACTGCAGATATACAAACTAAACAAAGCAGTGCTTACCATTTTTAATATCAGTCATGCTGATCACTACTTCATTCCAGGTGGCTCATGTTGTTATGAAAATGTCTGCATATTGAATGCAAGATGATGTAAAAGTAGAACAGACTCTCTGCTATGTGCTCTGTTTACTTTTATTCACTTTCGCTAACCTGAACAGCCAATCAGAGCGATCTCTCTCACTGACGGCCCTGACGGATATTCAACATGCTGAAACCACAAAAACGAACCCATTGCCGACCGTCGGCATGGTGTGTCACGGCCCAAAGAGCAGCAGAATTTTAAAGATTCACAAATTACTTAAGCTAAGCTTTTTGTCTCATATCAGATGGAGAAGGACATGTCCGATGTGAGTTTGGGTCCGACACCCATTCCTGAACTAACGCACATCATGATTGGGCTGGAGAGCTGCTCCTTTTTGGTTTGTTACACATAATAAATCAAATCAGTTCAATTTCACACTTGCTGAAATTGGTTGTGTGCTTATATAAGTCTTTTTTTGTGACTGACTGATAGGAGGATGACTTCATCCCCTTTGCAGTCCTCAATATGATGATGGGAGGCGGAGGGTCCTTCTCTGCCGGAGGGCCAGGAAAAGGCATGTTCACCCGTCTCTACCTTAATGTGCTCAACAGGTGTGGCATCATCTCTTTATGCTCTGAAACTGCTGTTATATGGTGAACAGTTTTTAGCAATCTGTTGTCGTTTGGACAGGCATCACTGGATGTACAATGCTACTTCGTACCACCACAGCTATGAAGATAGTGGTGTTCTGTGTATCCATGCAAGTGCAGACCCTAGACAGGTACTGTAGTTAGGTTTACGTGATAAATATTACTACAATACACCGTATTTTTTTAACTAATCATCTTTTTAGGTGCGAGAAATGGTGGAGATCATTACAAGGGAGTTTATTCAGATGACTGGGACAGCAGGAGACGTAAGACCTTCTTTTGTAAATTGTTTCTCGTTCTGAATTTGTTGCAATTTTTTGCATTGCACTGTTGCAAATCTCTCACTTGTGCAGATGGAGCTAGAGAGAGCCAAGACACAACTGAAATCCATGCTCATGATGAACCTGGAGTCTCGACCCGTCGTCTTTGAAGACGTGGGTCGACAAGTACTCGCGACAGGCAAGAGGAAGCTGCCGCATGAGCTGTGCGAGCTCATCAGTAAGTGTTGATTGATACTGCAGAGTAAAGCCTATATGAACTCTTAATTTAGCTTGTAAATTTGTTTAATACTTAAACTACCTTTCAAAAGTTTGGGGTCAGTGAATAATTTTTTTTGTTTTTAAGAAATTCAGCAAGGATGCAGTGAATTAATTAAAAGTAACAGTAAAGACATTTATAATGTTTCAAAATATTTCCATTTCAAATGAATGGAAAGAAATTCAAAAGAGCAGCATTTATGAAAGAATCCTTAAAAAAAGTATCTTGATTTCCCACAAAGATATAACGCAACTTTTGTGATCAATGAACAATTTCTTTGTTTTAGGTAATGTTACGGCCAGTGACATCAAGAGAGTCACAGCGAAAATGCTGCGTAGTAAGCCTGCGGTAGCTGCGCTGGGAGATCTGACAGAGCTGCCCTCGTACGAGGACATTCAAGCCGCTCTCTCGAGTAAAGATGGACGTCTGCCTCGCATATACCGCCTGTTCCGATAGGGGACCGACGGCTGACACCATCTAGAGACAAATAGGAGCACTGACCCAACAAATATTATTCTCGACTGGAATTTAAGTGCAATGCTTAATGTGGTTGCATTTCATCTATATAGTGATATATAGATAGTTCAGCATTTACTTAACAAAAATTCTGTCATTTATTCACCTTCATGTCATTCCAAAACTGTAGACTTTCCTCTGTGGAACATAAAAGATAAATGTCTTAAGTTTGCTGTCCATACAATGTGTTTGGTTCCCAACATTTTTCAAAATATCATATTTTCTGTTACGCAGAAGAGGGTCAAACAGGTTTTGAATGACATGAGAGTGAGTAAATGACAGCATTTTCATTTTTGTGTGGAGAATCCCTTTAAATTTTAAATGCTGATTTGATGGCTGTTCAATTCCACACACCCACAATGATTTTTTTTGCATGATTTTGTTTGAACCCACCATGTGTTTAAAGTAAATGTGCTCATTTTTCATATTTCCATCTTATTTGGCTCAATAAGTGGACTTTCCCATGCCATTTGTTAACATGTCTGCATTGCTGTTGAGCTGTGCTCTTCTGTGTAAAACTGGGCGAACCAGAAAGATATTCCTCACATTACGTAGCATTTTCTTTTCACAACGCTCTATAAAACTCTTATCTTTTAGTTAGTTTTAGATATTAAAATATTTAATCAGAGTGACAGACTGTGCACTTACCATGGCAGTGAAAGCCGACCCATCAACGAATGGTCGACTCTAAAGTGTATATAAGCTCTTGCTAAATCACTGTTAACATGACCCCCCAACCCAACCCAACCGAATTATTGTCATTATCCCTTTATCTTGGTTTGCCCTAAAATAACATATTTATTCCCTTGCACTTCTTCAGTTTACAGTTATATTTTTCCATTGCTGCTTATTATGATGGCAATGGGCGAATCTGACATCCCTTGGAAAAAAATTAAAGTTGGATCTTTTCTATTTTTTGGCTGTCAATATTTTTTTTGCCTCTGTGCATTTTGAATATTCAGCAATATGTTACTTGGTTTGTGTTTGAATAACAACCTTTTTGCTGCCAAATGTGTGCTTGAAACAAAATCATAAGAAATAACACCAAATACAAGTCAGTTTTTGTATTATTTTACATTGTAAACAAATATTTGTAACAGGCTATTATTTGGTTTTAAACAGCAGAATGTATTTGAACTCACTGAGGCAATCATGAGCAAGATCGCAGGCACTTTCAGTACAAATAGAACTGAAATCCATGATGTGAATGCGTGACTTAATATAACATCAGTCACTGAGATCCATGCGCAAGCAATACCAATACTATGGTCGTTCCCTATATCGCACTTTACATCAAGTAAGCTGAATTTTGTTGTTAGTTAACAGTTAAGGCAGTAAACTCAAGTATAGTCTGTGCCTCCTCACTTAGATTTTGCACACATTTTAACCAAAGGTCAACTTCTCTACATGACACACCACGTTCACCTATCGATGACAATCAATCAATAAATAAACAGCTGCTAACACCAATATTCCCTCATTTTGCTGGTAATGATGCTACAGTACAGTTTCCTTTTTAAAAGCAGTACCACTGTTAGCACATTGTTAAGAAACTGTGTAAAAGAGAGACCCAGAAGCCACTGAAACCAGGAGGATCAGCTACCCGGTACTGGTATGAGGTGTTTACATTATCAGTTAAAGATTAGAAGTTGAGCTAATGGTTTAACAAGGCCTTGAAACACTATCAGTTGAAACCATACATAGAACAGACTGTTACGGCTTGCAAGTTAAATAGCAGAATATGAAACAATACAAAAAAACTAATTAGGAATAATGGATGTACAGTACAGTTAATTTACTCTGGTCAGTATAATTTATAGATTTAAAAAGTCATATTTTACAGTTTCAACACTAGCTGCTAAACATCCAGCAGCAGTCTTTTGGTCCCTGGACTGTGCACTTCAGTGCCATGACATCTGTAGTACCGAGTTATCCTTTGGTCCTGAAAGTCCAGCTTTCCAAGTCAGTAGCTCGGTGTTTGAAATGATCAGTTTTAGCACCCTCTCGCACATCGGTAGATCAGGATATGGTGCAAACTGTACTGTTATTCTGGTTTTTCATGGCTGCCTCTCTCTTCTTCAACTCCCGTGTGATTCTCCTTCGGATTCCTTCTAAGTACAGGCTCCTGTCGAACTGGCCAGCACCCAAGGGAATGCTGGGGAGGATAACAGACTGAGTTAGTGGTTTATCAAACCTGCATGAAAAATGTCTCATGACAAACACACACCTATAACATAAACAGAACTCAAAACATTCCATAAATTGATGAAAAGCTTGAGTTGACTAGATCACATGGCTTGTTTTGTAGGGAGACAACAGCCAATCATCAGAAATGATTGCAAGTGCTGCTTACTTGTCTCTACCCGGACGAAGTTTGACCTGAAACATGCCAATGACTGGCCGGTGATCTGATGTCTTAATGGACGAGCAAGACGTATACTTGATCACTTTAATGTCATCTACTTGTCGGTTTCGATAAAGAATCCGATCCTGTCAACACAAGAGGAAAAATTAACTACGATACTAGTATAGTGTATATAGTGACATATTAGCCTATAATTAGCAAAAAAAAGTTTACGGTATATGAGGGCGTTCTCTGCTTTGTGGTGGTGTCATAGACGTCACAACCAATGTCATACTTGTAAGTAGGAGGAAAGTGAATAGATGCTTCCTGAAACCCTTTAAAAATGGAACCTGCAAATGCACAAAGAGATTCTTCCAGTTAAATCAGTCAAAGAACAAATATTCCCTAAAGGGAACATAATACCTGCATAAATGACACAGGACTGAAATTTTACATCTTTCTGCACTTGCCTTCCTTTATTTCTTTCAACAGCTGGTCATGTTGTAATAGCGGGCTCATATCTGCGCCTACACCCTGATTCAAAATGGCCTCCACCTCTCCTCTGGCTTTATTTAGGCGGAAGTTAAAATCTCCAAACCAGAAGACTTCATCAAAACGGGTTGTGACATCACCTGAGAATATTAAAATATTATATTAATAAATACTAATCAAAATAAAATAATAATACACAATAAAATCTTTAAACATGACAAAAGCCGTAACACTCACAGGTGGTGGAGCGGTAAGGGTTGGTATCAGGAAGATTTCTAGGAAGAGCCAGCGCTTCTATTATCTTGTTATAGTCTAAGATCCTCTCATATACTTTAGAATCTCCAGCTGAAACAAACACAAAGACTGGGTTGGGTTTATTCCTAGCTGGGCTGCTTGCCCTTGGGTTAAGTTTACATAAAATATTCCACTTACACGTGAAATGGGATGTAATAAAGAGGAAGGATGTCCCAAAAAAAGTGAAGCCGATACCCACAGCTCCTTTAGTCTTAATCTGAGATATAATTCGGGTTGTGACAGTAGCATGTTCCACTTCTGTAGTGACAGAAAAAGACACACTTTTATATATTATATCATTCAAACATTTTGAGGTCTGTAAGTTTTTACAAGAAATTAATACTTGAATTCAGAGAGGATATGTTAAATTAGAGATGGACATTCTATTTGAATATTTGGGCTCATCAAAAACGAATACTTGATTATTCGTTAATTTAAATGAAGTTGAATCATTTATTTTAATCAAGTTTGGATTTCGTGTGATTTCTCATTGTGACGGTGATATTATGATAACTTAGTTTCACCCGACAATGTTTACACATGACATGTCGATTCATTTGATCCAAAGTAAGATCACTTAGATCAAAGTAATTCCAAACCTCCACAATCTTGTTTACACGCTCCACTCAATGCATTTAGCTATAATAGTGAGTTTTAGTTCGCATACTTAGGATTTATCATGGCCAGCAAAGCATGTGGCAAAATTCAAATAGTATGTTTATTTGTTTGAATAATTACAAATCGAATATTCAACTATTCGTGCACACCACTACATTCAATTGATCAAAAGTGAAATGCTATTGTATTCTTTTGAACTTACACTGATAATACCATTGACAAGTCAACATAATAATAAGAAATGTTCCTTGAGCACCAAATCAGCATATTAGAATGATTTCTGAAGGATCATGTGACACTAAAGACTGGAGTAATGATGCTGAAAATTCAGCTTTGCTATCACAGGAATAAATTACAATTTAAAATATTTTAAAACAGTTATTTTAAATTGTAATAATATTTCACAACATTACTGTTTTACCGTATTTTTTAACAAATAAATGCCATGGTGAACATAAGAGATTTCTTACAAAAATATGACAGACATAAAAACCCAAAACTTTTGAATGGTACTGCATAATATACTATATCATATAAATAAAATAAAAATAAATAAAAAAAGCTTTACCTGAACAAAACCATATGAGATCTCTCCTGACAAATATAGTGAGATAGAGAACTCCATGGGCTGCTGCGTACAGCATCACGTAATACGGCCCAAGAGTTTCCTGCAAGCGGATCTCCCACTCCCTCCTGTGGACAAACATGAAGAGGGTAAACATGCTGAGCATCAGGAAAAGACAAAAAAAAAAAGCAAAATCTTACCTATCTGGACAACCTTCCTGAACTCCTATAACGTAGACGTCCTGTGCGAAGTCTGTGTCGGTTGGGAGCAGAAGATCATCTAGGTTGTATGGGAGCCCCTGAGACCAAGAGTGAGAGCTTAGGTTACAGCTGCTATGCACTTCAACAAACAAAACATGAGCAATGATATATTGTTCCACACCTTCTCTCCCTGCATGTTCCATGTGGCGACGTAGATACCGAGTCGTCTCTCTGGGAAATAGCGGTCTAGCTCTTCTGCCCCCAACAATGCACCGCTACCCAAAACACTGCCCTCCAGAAAGCTCCTAAAACCACATGCAGGTACATTTTCAGGAAAACAAAAAACAAGAACAAAAACTTTGAGAAATTCTCATTCTAGCATATGTCGCATAATATATTCATATTAACGGAATTACGATGACTTCACCCAAATGTTCTGAATGGTCATGCTGCCTTTTTCCACACAACGGATCCATACAGTGACCAGGACTTACTTTTTAGGTAAAAAAGTAGCATAAGAACTGTAGGTTGTGTGTATGGTCTGGGTAAACCCTACATTGTGGGAATGAAACCCCTCAAGGATAGTAAAAACTATATATATATATATATATATATATATATATATATATATATATATATATATATATTCAAACCAAAATATATTCAGACACCTTCAACATTTCTCACATTATCACAGTTTATAACTATTTATACAGTTATAGTTTAGAAAATGGTAATACAATATGACAATAACTCAGAGTTTGATATGTCACTGGTTTTGGCCATCCTTCTATTAGACTGTCTCACAAATGAATTAGGTTGAATCAGATGTTAAATTTAAGTTCAGTCTGTGGTGTAAAAAGGTTGCATTAGCAATTAAATGAAAAACACTTAAGCAAAACATGGTCAGGTCAAAGTGTCTGAATAATTTTTGGCCCTACATTTTTATACATTTTACTGGTAGGAAGGATTTTATACATTTTACAGTAGGAAGGATTTTTGGGTATAATATGTCAGTTTGCTATCCTCACTTACATAAATTAACTATAGTGTCCTGCACCCACTAGTAAAAAAAAATATCTGTCTGAATATATATATATCTGGTGTCTGAATAATTTTTGGTTTGACTGTACATATGCAAGACATATCAGATTCAGTACCATATAGCCAACTTTAGATGATGTATATGTACTGCCCAATATTGGATACAGGAGTCGATTAATATTTAATTATATACATGCATCACATTAAGAATTAATAACATTAATAACTTAGACTGTTAAATGTAATCTTTAACAAATCTCAAAATAAATATCCATTTTTCATATTGCACATTTTTATTATGTTATGCCTAAATTTACTTGTAGCATTGTTTGTTCAGTTTTGAAGTGTTTTATTTTTTATTTATTTAGTCAAAATAGTATACACTTTTAATATCAGCCATAACATAAAAGTAATTATTGATAACGGCCAACTTTTTGAGCCCCTGGTGACAATATGATCTAACTGTATGGAAATAAATCACAAAAGGGTAAGTTAAATGACAATGGAATTTAATTTCTGGGTGAACCATCACTTTAATCAACACATAAATTGTCTAATAGTTAGAGATTGTATTTCATGTTGTCCTCGTATAGTTGTTTTACTTTCAAGCAGAACATGAGTGAACGCGCTGATGGAGTTTGACAGTTACAGGTGCTGAACAAGCATCTCACTGATCCATTAATCTCCTTTGCATTCTTCAGCATGTGATCATGTGATCTTAAAGTGGAGGATATGCTCAGCTGAGCGATAACTTCGAACAGGCTGCAGAAAAGAAGAAACGAATGAAAAAACACAAGCTTCTCACCTGTTCCTCACATCCCGGGGTCTGATGGGGTTCAGAACACTATAGGTGGACTTCATGGAATGGACAGAGGCATTGTCCGACACCATGGTGTCCAACAGCCCGCTATCGCTCAGATTCCTCTGAAGCCTCTCCGACCGCCCCCTTCTCCCCACCACACTGTAATCCAAACAATCCCTGTCAATCCGATTAGTTGTCCTTAAGGACGCGGAGGCTGCGCTGTTTTCCAGAGGAGGATATGTGCCGGTGAGCTGCAGTGGGGACAGAAGAATTCTGGACGGTTTCATTCGCTCTTTATTCGGATCAAAATCCTCACGGGGGGACTCGTCATTCTCTGAGAAGCTCCCGGTACTTATCATGAACGGTGGTGTCTCCATGGGTGGGAGATCGAGAGGACCTCCGGATGCAAGGCCCTGGCCATTCACTGCGGCGGCGTCTTTAAGTGAATCGGTCGAAGAGCCCGTCTCACCCGGGTCTGTGAGACTCTCCTGGCTGTTCCTCAATCTTCTCCCCCTCAGCTTCTCATCAAATGAGATGTTTTTACCCTCCATGCCCAATCCCACGGGCTTCGGAAGAGAGGGAGGTCGAGGCTGATATGGACTAAGCTTGGCGTCCTTGTTAGGCTCATCCTGAAGCAGTTTGGTCCCATCATATGGCTTCTTGATGTCTTTGAGCTCCTCCTTGTTACTCTTCTCTTTCCTCAGGTCTACACGCAGTACATTAATATCTGTTTTACAAGCTGGTTCTCCTGACCTGAGTTCTGCGGGGTTAAACGGGACGATGCTGTCTCCATGCTCACTCATCCTATTGGCAAACTTGGTTTTAGATGTAAACAAGTCCCATGGTACTCAACTGATTACATCCTGTGGAGAAAGTGAGACAATTATTGTATAGATAACTTATTATTCTGTCAATTATTTATTTTGATTTAGCGATATTCCACATCTTGCCCAATGTGGAATTTTATATTATTTCCAGGTCTATATAATGAATGAAGCATTGTGTGATAAACAAATCTAAATAATTTTAAAGGGATAGTTCACCCAAAAATGAACATTTGCTGTTAGTTTACTCACCCTCACGCCATCCAAGATGTAGGTGACTTTTTTTTTCTTCTTCAGTAGAACAGTAAAGAAGATTTATAGCTGAAACGGTGGTCCTTAGTGATTCGTATAATGGAAGTTAATGGGTGCCATCACTTTGAGATTCAAAAAAACATATGCAGACAAAACAAAATTAATACCCACGGCTCCTGACGATACATTGAGGTCTTAAGAAGAGAAACGATCGTTTGGAGCGCAATCTTACTGTCTCATAATGAAAAGCTGACCCTGTTTGTTTACAACAGAGAGGGAAGATGAGTCTGTTGTATATTGTTCATCAAAATGGTACTTGTGAGGTTCGGATGCCGGAACCTATAGACCACGTTCAATTGCACAATCTCAATTAGGACAATTGACTTTTCACAGATTCCCAACGTTTCAGCTTGGCATGGACCGATCATGATGACCTCAATGTATTGTCAGGGGCCGCAGGTTTTAATTTTGTTTTGTCTGTATATGCTTTTTTGAATCTCAAAGTGATGGCTCCCATTGACTTCCATTATATGAATCACAGAGGACCACAGTTTCAGCTATAAATCTTCTTTACTGTTCTAATAAAGAAAAAAAAAGTCACCTACATCTCAGATGGCCCGAGGGTGAGCAAATCAAGAGCAAATTTTCATTTTTGGGTGAACTATCCCTTTTAATCAACAAAACAATTTAAATCAGTTTTTTTTTTTTTTTACTTTTTATGTTAAAAAAATATATATATTTATATATTGCAAGCTATATATTAGTAGCTATACATTTTCAAGTCAAGTCAAGTCAAGTCACCTTTATTTATATAGCGATTTTTACAATACAGATTGTTTAAAAGCAGCTTAACAGTCATAACAGGAAAATGTAACAAAGTTTGTTTCTAGAAGAATATATCATCATAGTCCAGCTTAAGTTCAGTGACGGTTAATTTTTGTTGTAAAAAAGTTATTATTGTAGTTTAGCCGCTCTGGAGAAAACCGTGATGTCATCGTTCAGCTCAGTTCAGTTCTCATATAATGGTGGCAATGCAGGCAGAGCAATATTATTGTTGAATATTTAATGTCCCCAAATATTCAAAGATCCAAAGGTTCAAAGGTTTTTTTTCTTTTTCTAAATGAAATAATTTTGCTCTTATTTAAAAATCCAAAATTTAACAAAACATATTATAACAATACTGTCTGGACAAAATGTTTTTGAGTTAAGTTAACATTTTATATATTTTGCGTATATTATTTTAGTGACAAAATGCGTATGCTCATCCATTGTAATCAGCTTTGGATAAAGGGGTCTTAAAAGGAAATTAAATTTTCTCCACTAAATAACTGCTTTGTTGTACCCAAAACTTTTGAGGTCAATACATGTTTAAGTTTTTAGTTAAAACGTGTAAACGGTCTATTTGTACTACGAGATGGTGGCAAGAGGAAGAATGTTACAATTAACGTTACACAATCCATAAACAATTAGTTGTTGTAGCCCTACGTAAGACTGTATGAAAAACGCCAACGGAATAATACACATTAATCATTAATAATCTACTAAAAGTTTTATTTAGCAAAAGAGATCTAACGTTACGTATTAAACGGACGTCGTAACTTATAAACACAAATCGTTAGGGTAACGTAACAAATGAAAACAACAGTCAGTAGCAACATCATTATTATTATTATTTGTATTATTTGTGTCCAACTTTTAATTAAAACTTAACTAAGACTGAGAGACATTAATATTGAATTGTTATGATCAGTGATTAACGTTACAGCTGACTGAAATCTCAGTCCCTCACGGCGATGTAAAACTCACTGATGCCACACGATGGTCACCCACACATCTGGAAGATCGATGTAAGTTAGCGTTTTATCTTTCCAAAATATGATTAATGAAATGGAATTAAATCTATATTAAAATACATTTGTGTGAGGAATAAAATGACGCATTTTGAGTATGAAATAGCTCACCGTTACCTCCAGTTCGCTGAAGAGGCAAACTTAATGGACTTCCTTAACAACCAAAGCAACCAACAACTTCTCAAGAGGGGTGTGCTGACAGTCTGCAGCAGTGTATTATGGAACAGCGCCATCGTGCGTTTATTATTCATCCAGTTGGTATTAGTTTCACAAACAAGTGGCCAATTTACAAAACTGTCCACTTATTATTCAGGAATATGGGAACCAAATGTACCGTTATCTAACACTGAAAATTCCTTATTAATTACTGTGAAAGAGGAGTGTATGCGTTGCGCTTGGTAAATGTGTAGGCTAATTACACTGATCCGTAGACTGGCTGCGTTCGGAATCGCATACTATAGAAAACTGTACGCAAAATATGCGACAAAATTGATAATGAAATTAAATTATTTCATTTTCATTTTCACCGTGACAGTGCATCATCCCTGTCAAATTGAAAAATAAAATCCAATTGGTGATTTCACGTTTCATTTTCTCGAGGCAAGACTGCCAATATTAAAATGAAAAGGCAAATGTGCAAAAGAAACTGCAAATGCAGTTTTTACAAAGCTTTTTATTAACACTCACGCAATAATAGTGAGAAAATTCAAGTTCAAATGTAAAGTTTAGTTGTCATTTTATTTACTCTTTTATTTCACAGTTTTAGTTTTCGTTTTCATTTTCAAAGACAACCTGTATGCAAATTATATGTTATAGCCAAATCTCGTTGAGTATGAATCATGTGACCTACGACGCGTTATCACAAGCGCAACAACTTAAAAGATGAACGACACGTTTAATTCATCTATCTGTAAATATCTTGATATTGATGAAACTTGCTCATTTTGTGGTATTGTTGAAGAAACAGCTGCCAATTTATTTTGTGAATACATTTAGGGTTGATTTAAGTTGTTATATTTTAAACCCTATATGTGACCCACAGTTTTATCCTTATAACGATTTTTTTTAAGAAACCCCAAAATCGTCATCTCTTGAACATATTAATTTCTTTATTTTATACCCAAAAAGTTTCTCCTTTAAGTTTTCCTCTTTTCTTGATGAATTTACCTCTCGTTTCATCCCTCAGACTTATAACAACAAAACAATTTTTAATGTATTATGAAGAACTATTTAAAGATATTTAGCCTTGTTCTTTTTTCCTGTGTATAAATATAATATTATGATGTACACAAACCAATGATCTTTGTTTTCTGTTTTGTCATTATGATTGTTCATTGTTAGATACAACTATGGTATCTTTCCATGATCTTTATGTAATAAGTTTAAATTATATGAGCGACAGGTGCACTAACACTTCATAACATCAGTAACTCGACAGCACAACCTAGAACAGTTTTCCTCAGCGTTTGTAATGTCTGCACAAGGAGACGGGCGGCTGCTCGAAGATCTCTCCTTTGGAGAAAACTGTTGACTTTATACTCGAAAAATGTAAGTAGCGCTCCTTAAAACTTAATATTACCTCAAAATGAATTGCATTGTTAGCCCACCCCAAAACTTAAACAAAATAATATTAAATGGAATGCTGACCAATACTTAATTATATTACTTTTTTTATATACTAAAAATGATATAATTTAATAAAACAAGCAAAATGTAATTTGTTTTGTCATATGAGTTATGCATGAATACACGTGAACATCTCAATTGTCAGTCAAGCAATGAATTAATGCATACATTAAATAATTATATTTTATATACTGACAACAATAAGAAACATGAATAAATGAGTAAAAGAACAAATAAAAGTAACCATCACACAATAAACAAATGCATATACAATTCAACAACACATGAATCAAATCTTTATTCAAACTACAAGCATGTATTTACAGGCGCTGAACCCCACATACTGCCATCTCAACACAGCGGTTCCCATTCTGCGGCTTTACTCTGATGAATTCACCAGTGACCGTGCCTTCGTGCCGGAGCTTGTTGCTGCGCTTCACAATCTGAGGCGATAAGGGCAGATGGAGAGATGGAGCGTCTCATCCATGGCACCGTTTCCAGGATTTAGCTCTGGGCTCCTCATCCTCAGTGCTCACACCAGTCTGAATAAAAACATGTTTAGTTACTTTATAGATTTGTTTATTTACCTTATTTACAGCACATTTGTCTAATGTCAACAGTGTTGACAACAGTGAATTAACGTTATCCTATAATAATGCCACACACATACATCACTCAGATGTCTTTTTCATGTTGTGATGTGCTCATCTGCAATATGTCAATACTTACAATATTTTCCTTTCAGATGTAAATAGACATTTTAAATAAGCGTGTATATGGTTATGTAAATCCACTTTAGAGACGTTACGTGTGCTTAGAGCTCCCCTGTTAGCTAGCTATACAAAACATGTTTTTACAGCAAAATCACAACTATACTATACTGTCTAACTACTTTACACCTTCAACAGTTAAAACGTTTACTCTATAGTAGTTTAACACATAAAGAACCGTGTTTACTCACATTTGAAAACCCCCGCGTCGCTGATCTCCGTGATTTTTGATAATGACGTATGCTCTCGCGTGGCCTCCTGGGATAGATGAGTATCCACAGTATCCATCGGTTGAGCACTCAAAAATCGGGCCGGAAGCAGTAAGCCATCCGGGAACTTCTCGCCTACTCTTTTATGAATACTGATGTTTCGAACGTACTGCTTCCTTCACGTACTGTTTTCGCCTACTATATAGTAGGAAAGTAGACATATTCGAACGCACTTAAGTCCGAATCTCGCGATAATTAGCACGTCACCCAGGTAATTCTCGCCTACTCTTTTATGATTCGTACATACTTTTCGCTCGCCTACTCTTTTTCCCATACTATATAGTAGGGAAGTATGCGATTCCGAACGCAGCCTTGATGAAAGAATACCAAAGGCACACTCAACTACCATCCTGGCTCGAGACAGCCTGTAATTGAAAATGCGCCTCCATCTTGGAATGTTGTTCCCTGGAAATGGTCGCATGATATAGGTCTTCAAGGGGAATGCTGCATCTGCAACCATGGTATATGGCATGGGACCCTGAGCACCAGATCCTGGTAAAGGCTTATCTGCTGGCAGAGACAACGTTTTTGCTTCAATGCCTCTTCCGAGAGATGAGTTTTGATAAACTCCACCATCACTGGCTCGTCCAAAGTCTCCCACTTGGACGAATGTAAATTTGTAGTCTGCATCTACCAGTGCAAGCAGAACAATAGAGAATGTCTTCTTGTAATTGAAGAACAAACTCCCAGATTGTGCAGGTGCAACTATGTTGACATGTTTGCCATCAATGGCACCGATGCAGTTTGGAAAGTTCCATTTAGACCAAAATTTGGAGGCGATGATTCTCCACATGTCTTCTGCTGGCTTTGGAAACTGCGTTGCCATCATTTTCCTCTCAATTGTCCTGCAAGTCATATGCACACTCCCAGCAACAGTGCTTGTCCCAAGACGATATTGAAGGGCAAGGCTGGTGAAGCTTTCCCCAGTTCCAAGGAATCTGAGAAAAAAAACAGACAAAAGTATGTAGTTATTAAAATATTTTTTCTTTTCCAGCAGTAAATGAGTGTAAAAGGAGATGGAAGGTGCTAAGGGATGCCTTTTCAAGGAACAGGAAGCAAAAAAAAAACCTAGTGGCTCTGCTGGTGGAAGCAGCAGAGAATGGAAATATGAACAGGTTATGTCCTTTCTGCTTCCCCATATGCAGTCTAGAAAGTAAGTATGTTAAATTGATGTTGTGAAATCTGCTTTGAATTATGTTAATTGGATACATCAAATAATCAAAGTTGTTACATACTAAAAAAAGGTACTACTAATGAAGCTAAATTTTAATTTTTATAGTTTTTCAAAGTGTTTCTAAGCTATGTATAAATGTGTTTTTATTATTATTTGTTGTAGCTCTAGAAACACTCTGCAGTTGGAAGATGGACCTGTGGACATGACTGTTGCAGACGATGATGTGGAGTCAGAATTAGCAGAACTATCAAGGACAAGTTCTCCAGTGCCACCTCAACAGAGATCTGCTACCCAACCACTCTCTACAATTTCAAGATCTGACACCTCCACACAACCACTGGCCAGTCCGAGGTCAAACATTCCCACATCACATCCCAGAGTGCAAGCTCTAATTACTGAGACTCAGCCAACAAGACAGAAGAGGAGGAGGTCAAATGATCCAATTGCAACAGAGCAACAGCTTTTGGACATTTTAACACAACCAACCACAACACCATCACCATATATTCCCAAACCAGGAGAAGAAATGTACTACTTCGCCCTTAGTTTAGTACCCAAACTTGCAAGACTACTTCCCAGGAACCAGAAAAGGGCACAGGTACAGATACTGACTTACCTGTCAGAACTAGAAGCAGAAGAACAAACCATGCAACAAAGTCACACTACAACCCAAACATTCACAAGGAGTCAGCAGCCACACAGTTCTGGATTTCATCAATACCACCCAACCCCCACTTACCATCAAAGCCACACTCAGCAAATCCAGACACATCACTTAGCACAGTCAACACCTTCTTCAACAAAGTCTGGCCAACAACAAGCTTCATCTATGGAAGACCCATCTTCGCCAGTAGGCCTATGTCACCATTTTTAATGCATTTACTTTGTTTTTCAATATTTTATTTTGTCATAGCAGTTTTGACATTTAGGAAAATAAATTCTTGTCTACATCATTGATTTATTAATTTACATTAAAAGCACATGTTTTAAATTGTATTGTATTTTATTATAACATTACCATATGGGAACATATGTAACTACATATGTACAGCTGTTTAAAAATATACAATAATATAATTTGATTGCAAACAAATCACCCAATGTGTCTGTTATTACCTCAGTGTAATTGCAAGTCGCTGTTTGGGTTCTATGGCTGCTCGATAATTCGTGGACTGTCTTGTGAGCTCAGGTCCAACAACAGAAAGAAGCTCGTCCATTTGCTCAGCACTCATGCGAAAATACTTTAGATGACGGTCGCTATCCAGGCGCAGTTCCGCAACAAGATGATGGAAAGCACCAAACTGTCTTCTGCGCATATTGATCGGATGAACCCACATTCTCCGTTGCGTCCTTCGACGAAACTTTCTGAGCAAAAGGTAAAGTGCGATGACTTTCCTTCTGTCTACAACACGCACTAAAAAGGAATGAAAACAAAATGTTAAAATACTGTGCCGAAAAGGCTATGGTACACAACAATTTTAGATAACAAAACATTTCTTCAGGCACTTAGGCTAAGTCACAAAAAAATGCTCTGATTATATTTTAATATGATCGTATGACAGCAACTTATGGAAGCCCATTCCCGCCACATAAGAAAAAAATTCGAGCATTCTTAAGTCATAATTATGACATAAAAAGTCGAACTTATGACTTACTAAATCGAAATTATGACTTTAAAAGTCGTAAGTATGAGATACAAAGTCAAAATTTTGACATACTAAGTCGAAATTATGACTTACTAAATCGAAATTATGACTTTAAAAGTCATAAGTATGAGATAAAAGTCGAAATTTTGACATGCCAAATCGAAATTATGAGATTAAAAAAATCGAAATTATGACTTTAAAAATAGAAATTATGACTTTCCGACTGGCACTCTCATTGTTCTGACGCGACCCGACACATGATGAATTATGAACAGATTAAGGAGTATTTCACCTCTGCACTGCAAAGATGGATTTTGATTGAATGAATGAATTTGACTGGTAACAGTGGTACTGTATAATTATTGTATAATTAAGTATTTTATACTATAAATAAGTATAATTACTGTATGTTAGTATTTGACATAAAAGGTGATGCATAACTCTAAATAAGTTTAGAAAGTATGCCCATATATAGGTGAAAATGCCCCTGGAAATCAATTTAAGGTGGCAAATATTGCCCCTTAATTAAAAAAATAATTTCTGTCACTGCTGTGAACTGACCACTGCATAGAATATGAAAAATATGAATATCTTTGTGAGTCAGCTGTCAACAGGCCTAAACCAGCCATGGCACCAGCACAAAAACACAATCAGTAAAATATCATCTAATTATTATCAACAAAACGTTGAAAATATTGAGATTTAAGTTGTTATATTTTAAACCCTCTTCAAATGCAGTCTAAGCCGATGAGTTTCGAATGTTATATGTTGTATTTGTTTAAGTTAAAAATAAAACGTATTATAATCTAAACAAATACATGGTTCATTTTTGGCAAAATGATCATGATAGCCTTTATATATCTGTGTGGTTAAATCTTTTATATTGATTAAGCCTACTTTGCTATTCTATAAATATATAGGCCTAATAAGTTGCATTATAATATGATATAAAATGTATGAATTTCAGGGGGCATGTCACTACCACATACCATTCCCCCCCCCCCCCCCCCCCCCCCCACCCCCGTTCCTTGTTTCCATTTCAGAAAGTTGGCAACCCTACATGCAGCTGTTCTCCATTTTTCTCTGAGTTTAAATGGAAGCTTTAGAATTACTGCTCTCATGTTTGTTGGCATGTCCAGTTCTTGCATATACTGTAGATCTGCCATAGCATTGCAACACCCACGTAAAAAGAGTGCATAATCTTGAAAAGTTGTGGTATCTTCATACCTGATCATGGGCCATCCAAGCACCTTCTCCATATATGCAGCAGAAACAAAATAATCTTCTCCAAACTGCCGTTTAAGCATAGTTTTAGCTGTATCATAACCTCTTTCCGGTGCCATATTCATACAGCTTCGAACAATTTCTCTTGGGTGAGTGAGTTTGAGGGTGAGTGCAATTCTGAGTGTGGTTTCTATAAAGAGAGAAACAAATTACAAATGAATAAATCAATCATATGCATACACTCATTCCTCTCTAAGCACTAATATACATTACTAAACAAAGCAAACAATAGTCAGAATATAACTATACAGTATATCTCTTAAACTCTAATCTCTTAAACTGTAAGCATAATGTAAAGATTCAAACACTTATTATAAAGGATCCTCAGATTTTCTATTATAAGTTAAATTCCCACTAACATAGATAGCACTTACTGTCATCTATGATAATACACTTTATAGCTTCAACTAACTAAACAGCTGGATGGTTTTATTATGAAAAAACCCCGTACTGAATGCTATATTCCATTCGAGCTAGCAAAGCCTTGATAGAGAAACCTCAATAGCGATCCAAATAACAATATTTAACACCACTTACTTCTTAATTTACTCAACCACAAAGTACTGATCAATCCTAACAACAAATATGAAAGTATAAACACATCTAAACACGATATTACATATCGTTAACTCGACGTACTAAATCAGACGAGTCGAAGCTCGAGCGTGAAATGAACGAACGTGGATATAATTAGCACCACGGTCGCATAGCGACTTCTTAAACTCCTAACTCTTATCCACATCAAATAACAGAAATGACTAGTTTCACAAATAATACAATATCACAGATGTACTTACTCTTCTCATTTACGCACACTCTGAAGAAAGGTGCAGCTCACATCTACAATCCGACCGACCGACTGACAGACTGACTATCTCTATCGTACTGCATACTAACTGTGTGACGTCAGATAGTATACAAACCAGCGCGCGCTTCGGCTACCGTTACAAGCACTGAATAAACGGAAGTAAATGTGAAACATGGTCTAATATGGTCAACTACACTAAATAATAGCAACACTAACATAACTTTGGGGCCTTTTCTACAAGCTCAGTCTCTTCTACTCGACTCACCAGGTGCACATGGACTGCTCCATTCTACTCCGTCTATTCCTGTTCTGACACCAGTCTCCAGTGTAGTCATTAGTCCACCTGACTCGACCAGTCCTCCATCAGTCCAGCCCGCTCCACAAGTGAGTGCTTATACTAATACTAGTATACTCGCCCAGCCTCAGCCTACGTATATTACCATGCTTCCTCTTCTTCCTGCAATCATCAATCCAGCTTCGCAGTTGGCTCCTAGACCAGCCGTAAGTGCTGTTACCTCACGTGCTCTGCCACTGTCAGTAGAACAGAGTATGGGCCTATTTCGCCAGCCACAGAGGGTCTATAACCAAGCCCAGACCCAACATGTGCCTCCACCTGTTACACTTTTACAACCAGTGCTATCAGTTGCTAACACGCTGTCCTATCCTTACCCTGATATGCCACCTTTGGCACGACAGGGCACAGCTCCTTTAAACTACAGGGCAGCGCCGGGTACAGACCTCATGGAGCTCCTAGTTGCTACCTCTTATGGCCTTCCTAGACCTACTCTACCTCACTTCACCTCAGGTAAAGAGTCAGACTTTGCCCTGCTCAAGATGGCTTTGGATAATCTGCTCAATACACATGCTCATCTTACAGAGCAGTTCAAATATCAAGTCCTCCTTGAACATCTGAAACTGCCAAGCGCCTACAAGTTAGCCCAAGCCTACATGCACGATCCAAAGCCGTACACCTCAGCCCTCCAGGCTCTCCAAGACAAATACGGGCAACCGCGTCAGCTTGTGCAGAGTGAGCTTGGTACTATCTTAAACTCACCTCACGTAAGATCTGGAGATCCAGAGGGGTTTGACAACTTTGCCCTATTAGTACAAGGTCTAGTTGGCATGCTCCAATCCCTCGAGGGTGAGAATGGCAAAGTCACCCAAAGGTAAACCTAGTATGAAGCCTTACTGCCCGTACTGCGACGCCCGTGAGCATTACCTCAGTTTATGCCCCAAATTTAAAACACTCACTCCATCAGAGATTTCCACCTGGATTAAAGACAGAGGCTGTTGGAGGTGTGGCAGAAACCATAAACCTGAGGCATGTACTCTCAAGAAGCCTTGCCAAGTGTGCAAACGGCAACACCTGACCGTGCTCCACGAAGTGTGTTCCCAAGAGGCTAAGAAAGTGTTAATGGTCAGTGCTGCTCCCGAGACTATATACGTTGACCGTCCTAGTCGTCCGCATAGAGTCATGTTGAAGCTAGTTAAGGTGCGCCTGTACAATGCCGAGCACTCTCTGGAAGGTTTTGCTATCCTGGACGACGGATCAGAGAGAACCCACATCGTTCCCTCAGCAGTCCGGCATCTCCATTTAGACAAAGAGCCTGAGAGCTTGCCTTTCCGTACTTTCCGCCATGAGGTGATCCATCTACAAGGAGCAGCTGTCTCGTTCGACATCTCGCCAGCTCATTCTCCCAAACAAAGGTACAACATCTGTCATGCCTTCACTGCTGGTGAGCTGAGCCTGTCTGAGCATAGCTATCCTGTCAAGTCGCTCATGCGTAGATACTCCCACCTGCAAGGTCTTCCTCTGCCGAACGTTGACAAGGTCAAACCGCTTCTGCTGATAGGCTCTGACTTTCCACATCTGCTGCTTCCCAAACAACCGATCCGAGCAGGTCCACCTGGGAGCCCTGTGGCTGTGTGTACTGCTCTTGGTTGGACACTGCAAGGCCCCGCCAACTTCAACCTCACTGGTGAGCATTCTCACTGTTACTTCACCATGTCTCCTAACTCAGAGCTGCAGCGGCACGTTGAACGACTGTGGGAAGTTGACATAAACCCGTATGCCAACGCCAAGACTGTGATTCGCTCCAAAGAAGATCAGCAGGCCCTAGAATTGCTAGAGCAGTACACAGTCAAGGTACAAGTGGATGGAGTAACCAGGTATGCTACTCCACTACTGAGGCGCAAAGCTAGAGTCATGCTCTGGGCTCCAAAGCATACATTGCTCCCACAGCTACGGAGCATAGAACGTCGTCTAGCCAAAGACACTGCTTTAGCTAACACCTACTGTCAAGAAATACAGAAGCTTGAACAGTTGGGTTATGTCAAACCGCTACCTCCTGACACAGTAGACAGTTCCACAGAGTCCTGGTATCTGCCGCACCACGTTGTTCACCACAATGGTAAGGCGAGGATTGTCTACAACTGTTCCTACCAGCACAACGGTCAAAGTCTCAATAGTCAACTGTTGCCCGGTCAGACCTTGGACCCTACTCTCCTCGGTGTACTTCTTCGGTTCCGAGAACACAGTGTGGCTATCAGTGGTGACATCAAAGCGATGTTTCATCAAGTTCGTCTGTTACCAGAAGATAAGCCCCTTCTCCGTTTTCTCTGGAGAGGTATGAAGAGGGAAGAGGAACCAACGGTATATGAGTGGCAGGTTTTGC